TAGTCAATGCCAGCTTAATTACTTGCCCAGTTAACTGTCTGCCACAACTGACAGGCAGACAGAGAGACAGAGAAATGTTGGCGAGCTGATTTCTTAGCCAATTATGCTGTCATAAAAGCAGCTTACGTTTTTTTATCAGATGCCAATTTTAATTACACGCAGTGTTGCTAAGCGACCCACAAAATTAGCCAGTGTTGCGAAAATACTTAGTATGCTAACAAAAGACGGGCCACAACTCGCTGACTTTAAGAGAGAGCGAGCAAGAGAGAGAGAGAGAGAGAGCGCGCATGAACTCTGGCAAAGCGTCTGCTTCTCATAATTGCTGTTAGCAGCAGCAGCTTTTGGTCTTTAAATGCGGGCCAAGTCACAATTGCGTGGTTGAAGCAAAAACAATACTAAATAAGGCGGGTACAACCGACCGCATAATACTTGCTTAAGGTCTAGCAGGAGCTGAAGTTGGGGCGTGAAACAATGGGTGGTGGTCTTTAGGTCTATAAGTCTAAAGGTCTACGTACAGATCTATGGGTCTGTGGGTCTTTAGGCGTACAGGTCTATAGGTGCTGGTCTAAGGGTCTATAGGTCTATAAGTCTGTAGGTCTATAGGGTTGATAGGTCTATGGGTTGATAGGTCTATAGGTCTACAGGCCTTTAGGTCTATAAATCCATAGGTCGATAGGTCTATAAGTCTATGGGCCGATAGGTCTATAGGTTAAAAGGTCGATAGGTCTATAGGTCTATAGGTCCATAGGTCGATAGGTCTATAGGTCTATAGGTCTATAGGTTCATAGGTCGATAGGTCTATAGGTCTATAGGTCTATAAATCCATAGGTCGATAGGTCTATAAGTCTATGGGCCGATAGGTCTATAGGTTAAAAGGTCGATAGGTCTATGGTCTATAGGTCTATAGGTCTATAGGCCTTTAGGTCTATAAATCCATAGGTCGATAGGTCTATAAGTCTATGGGCCGATAGGTCTATAGGTTAAAAGGTCGATAGGTCTATGGTCTATAGGTCTATAGGTCCATAGGTCGATAGGTCTATAGGTCTATAGGTCTATAGGTCTATGGTCTATAGGTCTATAGGTCCATAGGTCGATAGGTCTATAGGTCTATAGGTCGATAGGTCTATAGGTCTATAGGTCTATAGGTCTATAGGTCTATGGGTTGATAGGTCTATCGGTCGGCAGATTTATAAGTCTATTGGTGGAAGAGGCCAAAATTAAACGACCTAAAAAGCTTCTGAGATTTTAGTACTAAAAATTAGAATGCCTTTTGATATCATGATGTATCGGAAGCAACATTCTTTCCAAAGTTTACGGGCTAAAATCGCAAAATTGTATAAATATATTTATGTATATTCAGCACAGAGTCATACAGACGAGTCCATGTATACCAAAGTCCAACTTCCAAGTCTCCAGCTGGCAAGAGATATAGCAATTACCGCTTTGAATGGACTCATCGAAAAGATCTGAACATTTTGAAAAGTCTTATAGAGGTACACAACCAATACGCTCTCTTTTCACAGCGTGAACGAGCAGAGCGAGAGAACAGCTAAAAATCAAGCCATAAAATAATGCAAGGCCAAAAGAAGGTGAGGCGGCAGCAGCAGCAGCAGCAGCCGCAGTTGCACAGTTGAAAGCAAATTAACGATGTCGTTGATTACTCGAACAGGTTATGCCACAGACACACACACACACACACATACATATGTGTGTGAGAATAAATAAGCGCGCGCGTAACCAACTTAAGAGATTAAAAACTACAATGAAAATCAAAGCAATCAGGCAAATATGTGAGTGAAACTTTGCTTGAATGCTGAGAAAGAGATCAAGAGACAGAGCGAGACGAGAGGGAGAGTGTAAGAGAGATAGAGAGAGAAAGCCAATTGAATGGAAGGCAATCAACAGGCGCCAAAAAGTAGGCAACGCAAAAGTGCGAATTGAAGGCGAATCGAAAACAAGCGACGCGAGGCGACGCGACGCGCCGCGACGCAATTTAATTGAAATGTTTAAAATGCGACAATGCGGAAAACTGACACACGCACAACATACACACATACATACTTGAGTGTGCGTGTGGGCCAAGTGCAAGGACAGAAGGGAAGCGGAAAAAAAATAAAAGCAAAAAAATTGAAGGAAAAACAAAACGAAATGTGGCAAGCGGCAAACGTTGCGCGTCGATACAAAGACAACTTTTAATGCCATTCAACAAAGTTGTCGTCGTCGTCCCTGTCCGCTGTCCTTGGCTGAACTCAGGCACACACACACACACACACACACACACCCACGCGTGCACACAGGACACATAAAAGGCGTAAGCCTTAAAAGCAAAATTTGCCACAGCCACAAGCAGTGAGGGCGATGTAAGGAGGGAGCGAGAGAGAGAGAAAGTGTACGAGTGCGTGAGCGAGATAGCTAGATACAGAGACCTAGACAGTTGTGGCAAGGACACAGTCCAAAAGTAGCGCAACTCTTGATGAGCATCACAAGTTACATGCTCCGATTGATGTCTTTGCTGTCAGCTATTGTTGTTGTTGTTGTTGTTGTTGTTGTTGTTGCTGCCAGCCATTTGCTTGCTGCAGCCAACTGCTTATGCGATACGCTGCAAGTTTTCAGTTCGTTCTTCTGTTTGTTGTCTAAAATTGCATTTTAAGTTGTTAGAATGAAGCAAAACTAGAAAAATGGCCATACAAATAATAGTTAAGATCAGATATCTTAAGGTTTATGGCTTAAAGTGCAAATTTCGGAACAGCAGCTTTCATTGCCTTTATGCCAAGAGCGCGGCTATGACAGTCCTGGAGCTGCTTTATAGCTAAACTTGTTTGGAGTTTCTATTGATATTAATCAGAAATCAAATATATATACGTGTGCAAGCAAGAACATTGTATTGATGGCCATCTGCTGACACCGTCAAGTGGCCAAGCGGCAAAGCATTGAGGAATTTACGACTATTTTCAAGCTCAGACGGACGACCCTCGTGAACAATCATGGCCAGCGACATGAGTTGTATAAGAATTTGAAATAAATGGCCTTGCTCAACTCAGCATAGATTGATGTAGCTGAAACATCTCAGTTGAACTCATCATGCGGTGCTGTGGCGCACACAGCTGACTCAACCATAGATCGCTCTACTCATGCCACAAATTCTGCAGTTTAATCAGTGCTGAGTTGCTTCAGCCTAGGGGGCGTGGCATATTGAAAAATGATCAATTTTGATTGAAATGAAATTATTAAAGATTTTTACTTCGTTTATATTAAGAGCTACATAACAGTCGCAGAAGCATTGCAGCTTCAAGAAAGGCGTCTTAAAGTTACCTTTTCTTTTATACATTATCAAATGGTTCATATATATATATATATATATATATATATATATATATATATATATATATTTATAACTATAAAATTCTTAATGTCAACTTTTGTCTACATAAAATAAGCTGGATACAAAAGTTTGCTTAAGAAAATTCACTGAAAGGATGAAAGCTTGAGGCATGATATTTGAGCTCTGCCTATCATAGCTCAAGTCAGACGCTATGGAAGACTTGATAAATACATATATATGCATGTGGATACATATATATATGTATATATATATTAATCCTTAAAGATATCCGACTGATATAGCAAAGATTAAACGAAACAAAGCTCGCCTCTGCCATGTAGCTTGTTATGTGTGAAGCAACGTGGAGCAAATGAAATCAGAGCAGATGACAATCCATTTGCATTTGCATAGAAAGTGTTCGAGTGTCCAAGTGTCCGAGTGTTCGAGTCTTCATGTTATGCATTCAATGTACAGCATTTGATATTTGCTAAAAGGACGCCACTAACAAATGACCGGGTCAAAATTGATGCGTAAATGCCTCAAATGAGCCGTGAGCGAAAGTCGGGCAGCACAGCTGCTGGCAAATGCTAGTGCGAATGCAAAAATTCTAAATGGAACTACAATGAAATGGAAAAATCATTTCAAATTGCGTTCACAATAGCCATAAACTGGGGGGAACGTGCGCTCGTTGCACTTTCATTCGGTTCGCTGCACTCGCTGACTGGGTCAAAATGACTTTGACTCAATATATATATATTTCGATATCGATATCGATAGATATGTTATAATAGTCAAACTTGATGATTTTTGCTTTAAATTAAGTTAGAAATATTCACACGTATTTTAAGTTCGATGTCGATTATAATCGATTTCACAATTATCAATTATCGATTATTTGAAACAAATTTGATTCTTATTAATTTTGTAGAATTTGAAAATAGTTACCTAAAGGCTGCAACATATTCGATTCTGTTCATGGAATAAGAAAAATTTATCGATGGACAAATTATCGATGTGAAATGTGCTTTTCATACAGATGGCAACGTTTTCGATCAGTAAAATAAAAATAATATCAATGAAAAGTTATCGATTAATGATATTTTCATTGATATGATAGAAGTATTCGATGGGTAGGAAAGAATTCAACTTTATTTTATCATCTAGAAAATTAAATATGTTATCGATTATTTTTATAAAATACGATTCTCGATTTAATGAAAATCGCAGAAAGTTATCGATGGCATGTTTCGCACTTCATTTAAAAATTACAAAATAAGCGATGGTTTGCAAAGCAGTTATCGATTAATTGAAAGAAATTTGATTTGGATCGGTTTCATGATGAGGTTGAGCTGCTTAGAAGGGAACTTGATGTGATAAGAATTGCAGGAAGTTATCGACAGCTTGAACAAGTTATTGATTATTTGAAGTGAAATTCGATTTAAATTGAAATGGAAAAAAGTTATCGGTTTACGAAGCTTGCTTAAGCGTATAACAAAAATTTTGACAGCCTTTTCCAAGAGTTTCAACTCGGATTAGATAAAAGTAAATGTCTTTCGGCACGAAAACAGTTTACCTCAGTGTCGTTTCGGTACTTGTTGTACAGTGTAGTACAATCGATATGTTAATTATAGTAATTATAATACATAATAGTAATAATAATAGTGAAACTGTTACTCACATAGCCAATTCATGCGCTCCGTGTACTCAACCTTGCGCTTGAGATCCTTGACAAGGGCGCGAAAGTCGTCGTCGTTGAAGTGACACTGGATGATCGTGTTGTTCAGTTGTAGGATGCTGTACTCATTGTTGCCATTGTTCGATGCGGCATCGGCAATGGCCTGCTGCATGGCATCGATGCGGCCGCCATTCAAGGCGTTCGAATTGCTCTCAATGTCCGTGGCGCTGGCGCGCAGCTTGTTGTTGGCAACGTTGGCCGCCAGGCTGACATCGCCATCGACGTTGCTGCAGGACTTGCTCAATATGATGGTGGCGCGATTGGCAATCGAGTTGGCCGCCAGCAAGTGCTCGCCGGCAGCGCCGCAGCTGCCGCGATGGAACGGCAATTTGCCAGCAGCGCTGGCCGCTGCCACAGCGGTGCAATTGTTGTTCTTCAGCGTGATGCAGTGCAGCTGATTTGCGAGCGCAGCCGCTGAGCAATCGCTGGCGCGACGACGCCGCGACGGATTGTCGCCATCGAGCGAGGGCTGCAAGTAGGCGCGCGTCTGTTGCTGCTGACTAGATCCGCTGCCGCTGCCGCTGCACATGTTGCCGCTGCTGCTAGTGGGCAGCACAACAGCAATATCGCTAGCAACAGTTGCTGTTGTTGCTGTTGCAGCGGCAGCGGCAGCTGCGGCGGCTGCTGCAGCTGCAGCCGCTGTGGCTGTGGCTGTTGCCGTTGCTGTTGCTGTCGCTGCTGCTGCTGCTGCTTCGACCATGTTCGACATCGATGTGGACATGGTCAGGCTGTGGCCGTTGCTAAAATTGTTGATGCTGCTGTTGCTGTTGTTGTTCTGGTTGCTAATGCTGTTAATGTTGCTGCTGCTGTTGTTATTGTTGCTGCTGCTGCTGTTGCTATTGTTGTTATTGTTGCCGTTGCCGTTGCTGTTGCTGTTGCTGTTATTGTTATAGTTGTTGTTGTTGAGTGTATTCAAGTTGTCGCTGCACGCCAGCCGTCGTCGTATTACAGTCAACTTGCTGCTGCACTGATCCTGATCCTCGTAGAACTGTATGAGCAGCTCCTCCAGCAGCGCTATGGGCGTGGCAGCTGTCAGTAGCGAGGCCGAAGCACTGGTCGAGGCGCCCGCTGACGCTGATGCAGTTGCTGTTGCCGTCACTGGCCCGCTGCCCGTGCTGCTAGCCGACGATTTGCGTCGCAATGTTGCCGCTGCTGTTGCAGCTGTTGCTGTTACTGTTGCTGTAGCTGTCGCTGTTGTCGTTGTTGCTGTTGTTGTCACAGTGGCTATGGCCAGCTCTTCTCTCTCGATGTCTGCTTCAAGCTCCGGATCCAGCTGCAATTGTTGCTCCTCGAGCGGCTCAAAGCTGTTGCTGCTGCAGCTCTGACTGCGACTAACAATTGCCGCCGCTGCTGTTGCCGCTGTTGCTGCCCCAACTGCCGCCGCTGCCGCAGCCAGCAGCAATGCACGCTCCCGTTCGCGTCCCGGATCGAAAATCGAATGCTTCAACAATATCTCCTGCAGCTGGCGTCGCTGCCGCTGCGCACTGTACGGATTGACCAGACGAAAGTCGTTATAATATTTGGCCAGACAGCGGACTCGCGATGCAATGTAGCCAATCTTACGCAGCAAACGCACATCGGCGTTTAGGGCAGCGGCGGCACGTTGCGTATGTTGCAGCTGCAACTGTTGCTGCTGCGTTTGCGGCTGCTGTTGCTGTCGTGCGCTGCAGAACAGCGCGGCATTTCCGCAGCTGCTGCTGCTGCTGTTGCTGTTGCTGTTGCTGCTATTGCTATGGCTCGTTGGCAATTGTGAGCCCTGCGCTGTTAAGCACTCTATATCTATTTCGGCATCGGCTGATGTATAAACGTCGTCGTCGTCGTCGTCGTCGTCGTTGTCGTCGTTGTCTTCGTCACTGTTATTGCTGCTGCTGGCGGCGCTTGTTGCTGCTGCACCTGCTGTTGTTGGTGTCGTTGGCGTTGTTGCTGCTGCTGTGATTAGTGTGGCTGTTGCTGTTGTTGTTGTTGTGGTTGTTGTCGACTCGCCCACGCCCACTTTGGCTATATCAGCTGTCGTTGTTACTGTTGTTGTTGTCGTTATTATTGTCAACGCCTCAAAGTTATCCGCCTCATTCCCAGTTGTTGCTGCTGCTGCCGTCGTCGTTGCTGCTGCTGCTGTTGTTGTTGCTGTTGCTGCGCTGCCACGTCGACTACTGCTGCTGCAGCTGCTGTCCTGGTACATTTATAGGCAAAAACTGATGTTGTTCTTTCTTGACTTCGACTTTTGTTGCTTTTTTTTTGAAGCGTTTTTCGCGCGTTTATTTCCGATTCTTATTGTTTGTTGTAACTTTTTTTGTTTTGCATATATTAAATTTGAAAAGCTAAAAAAAATACATCGAGCTAACGTTGCTTACATTTTTTTTCTTTGCGTTTTACTGTTATTTTTGTTCTCTTTTGTTTTGGCGCCTTTTAATGCCCGTTGCGTTTGCTGTGTGCAAATTGTTGCTTATGTTGCTGGCGTGTCTGTTGCTGAAAATTATGCAAATTGCAGTTGTTGTTGTTGCTCCTACTGTCGCTGTTGTTGCTGTTGCTGTTGCTGTTGCCGTTGCTATCTACACCGCGTATCCTGTGACTTTTGCGCGAATCAATTCAGTGGAAAAGTTGCTGCCACTTCGCGCGCTTCTCATTTCCATTTGACGGGCTTCAACCACAGTATTCACGCCCTAACGCATACTACACTATGCTACATACACACACGCTCTCTCGCTCTCCCTCTTTAACTCCCTCTCTCTCTCTCTCGCTGTCTCTCTCTGTTACTCCCTCTCTATCTCGCTCTCTTTCTCTAGATTTGTTGTACAGCTGCTGTTGCTGCCGTCGTCGTCGTCTTTGTTGTTGCTGTTGCTGTTGCTGTTGCTGCCGTGTTTTACATTTTATTGTATTTTAATTTGCATTGTTTTCAACTGTCGTCTGGCGACTATCTGCTTACGCTGTTGCTTCTGCCTCTGCTTCTTCTTCTTCGTATTCTTCTTTGTCTTTCTACTCCCGGCTCCTGCTGCTCTTTCGACTTCCGTTTCCGTTTTGAAATAATCACAAGTTCTGCGAGCTGCCCGCTGTCAGTTGCTGCTGTCCGTTGCTAGTTTTTGTAGCTGCAATATACAAAGAAGCAAATACATTGTAATCAATTTATTAGGCTTTAATATCAAATACCTAATATATAGATTTATCATATATAATTTAGACTGAAGATCAAAAACTGAAAATTATCGATATCTTTTGATAAGAAGAATAATCGTAGAGTAAAACATTCAAGATTTCATAAGCGACTCTATTGCAAATTAGGCTTTGCTTATTCACATTCAAGCTTAGTAGGAAAAATTAAAAATCGATAAATATCGATCATCAAAGCAATATATTATAATCTTAAAATCAGATCTGAAACCGTTCTAATAATAATATTAATGTTAACTAAAATGTTTGTAAAAATACCAGAAAATCTACATTTATCGAAGCGACTATCGAAAGAATAATATTTCAATTCTAAAATCCAAATCTTAAAGACATATATATCCTAACATCTTAATTATATATTTTTAAAAATAATAGAAAATCGATATTTATCGACAGTGAAACTTTATCGATAAGTTATGTAACATGAAATTTCATTTAAACAAATCAACTAAGAATTCTTTGTTAATTGTATTATATTTTTAGCTTTTAAGCTACAAATCGATATTTATCGATAGCTTTACATTTTAGTATTTTCATTTCAGTTACAAAACTGAGCATATGAACTACTTTTTTTTACACATTTATTTTTAATAGACGCAAGACCTTGCCATGATCTAACTGTATTATAATTTATTTGACAGTCTCCAATCAAGTAAAAAAAAAACCTTTGCCAATTTGAAAGCGATCGCAAAAATTGTCTAATAAATTGAATAATGCAAATTTGACTGTCAAATCAAAAAAAATCAAATAAGTCTCAAATCGGAAAATGTATTTTTAGATAATTAATAAATTCGATGAAGCGACAGCTCGATTAGATGTGAAATAAAATGTCAAGAAATGCCGTGAAATGCGAGAAAAAAATCATTTTGGACAGCGTATTTCACAACACTGCGTTTTATTTATTTTTTGCTGTTTTGTTTTAACTGTACTTATTATAGATTATTCATTGTGGCAGGGCAGTCATTGAAGGCCTGCGATGGCGCGCTTTGCCATATAGTCATATGTTGTCGAAGACAAAGGGCTGCTGCCGCTGCTGGCCAAAGGCTCTCGATAAACAACGGGCAAATGCACAATGACAACGCAGTCGGTCAACAACAGTAACAACAAAGATAACAACAGAACAACAACAACAGCAACAACAAATGTCGAGGACATTCGCAATGACAGCAAATGTCAAACATTTACTTCCCCATGGTGCATGGCTCCAGTCCTTTAAGTGCAACTCACACATATGTGTGTGTGTGTGTGTGTGTGTGTGTGCAGGGTATAGCGGAGCTATACGATGTCCCTCAGTCATTCAGTCGGACATCTTTGTTGGCAGCTCGTGTGTCGACAAGACAAAGCGGCAAAGCTGAATGCCACATGGGTGCATGATGTTTACCACAGACACACACACACGCATGAGTGTACCGTTAGGGTATATGTGTGCTGCAGTTACTCTATATTATATTAGTAAGGAAAGGCTGCAGCAATTCAAGCAGCTCAAGCTGGGCATGCTCAACTAGTAGATACCCGGCCACAAGGCACATGGCTTAAAGACAAACCACTTTGAATGTACTTAGTGCTCAAGGCTAAAGAACAACGTGACTCGCAAATACCTTGTATTTAAGAGTCGTAATGCGCTGTTAAAGTGTTGGAGCCCTTGACGTGGAAATTCTAAGCAAAGTTCAATGTTTCTTTGACTGGATTTTTGGTAAACTTAACTGAATCTGTCTAATAGACAAGACTATAACATAGCCTCTGCTATCATGGAACAATTAAATGTCATTCGCAAAGCTCTGATCTATTGCGAGATAGAGTCAATCACAGTTGTTTAGAGTAGCGCAGCTAAGGCCAAGACCGAGCCGTAGAAGCCATTGGCTAGGCAACGGCTATCAATGATGAAACTATTGCAAAAAGGGATTTCATATACAATTAGCTCAAAGTCCTTTTTTTGTTTTAAAAAAGAACCTCACATTTAATTGAATAAGAAAAGTTTTTGGCCATTCAAAATAGAAATTCATGTGCTTTGTTGGCAATGCAAGGGGAAGGCAGGCAGCAGGTGGCTTTATATAGACAGAGTTGTTGTGGTTCGGCTTGGAACTATCGATAACTATAGCTATCGATAATTTTTGGCATTTGCAATCATTTGTTACTCTAACTCAGGAACATTTCGAAGAGCAGAGCGCTTCCTCTATTTCAACATAAACTTGAAAGTCCTTCCAAAAATAGTTGAACTGAATATCTATTAATATATGAAGTACTCACAATCGTGGTTAGTGGTGATTGCTATAACGACTGCATGTTGTTCTATTATTGAATCAATCATTCAATCAATCAACCAATCAATCATTCATTAGAATCTCGCTCGTTATCACAATTCCTCAGGCACACACATAGCGAACGAAGCGAAGAAATATTTGGATTGGCTTCAAATTCCGAACGCATTGCGAGCAGTTAACGTGCCATGTTATGCGAAGGGGGCTGACAAGGGGGCGTGGCAGTACCTAATACCTTCGCTCACTCTCACTCTCACTCTTCCTCCCTCTCCCTCTATATCCCTCACACAATTTGTTTCTCTCTGTCCATATAGATTTATATGTAGCTGGCATCCAAACAACGCGCAGCAAGCTGAGATAGAAGAAAGAAAAAAAAATATAGTAGCAGGTGAGCCAGAGCAGACGGGAAAGACAGACAGATGGTTAGATAGACAGTTAGATAGGCAGGCATAGATGGATGAATGGCAGGACAGCGCATAGAAAGGACAGATACTAGACTCAACACATTTTTGCTGACATATACATATGTTGTTGTTGTTGTTGTTGCTGCTGCTGTTGTTGTTTATTTGTAGCTGGAAACTTGTTACATTTAATTATAGGCTATTTGATTAAAGCTCTTGAACAAATACGCTCAAAATGGCACACACACAGCGCGATAGACAGAGAGAGAGAGAGAGAGAGCAAGCGACAGAGACTCAGCGACAGACACACAAAAGTGTCAATATTGAGCCGCAGGTGGCGCTGCTGTGTTCAACGTTGCTGTCATATGGCTGACAAAACGCAAACGCAAACAGAAACCGCTGAGAACGCAAATGCGGCTTCGTATCCAAAACACGTCAGCGACCCGCCCCCCTTCGCTCCAGCAACGGCCCTCATCTCTGTCAGAAACCCAGCAACACGCCCTCAGCCCCGACTCCTTTGGCAGCCCAGACAACCTCAATGAATGTGGCCAACTGTTGAATGGTAACAAATTTTTGGGCGTTTGCCAAAAAGTTGTCGTTGTTGTTGCTGCTGTTGCTGTTCTTGTCGTTTGCCATTTTATTTATTTACGTACAAATGGATAGCAGTGAAAATATTATATATATAAATATAAGAAAAACAGCAGCAAATGAATTGAAATAAAATGTTTCTTGATAAGCTTCCGGCACGACTGGAGGCCGCCCTGCAGAGTAAGCATAGAATAAGCAATTAGCTAAAGAATATTGCATCAGTTAAAGCAAATATGCATATTAAGCTGTCGAGCTCAACAATTGTTGGCTGACCCACAAATGGCAATGGAATAAAAATTATTTGCTATAAAATACTGTTTGTGAACTCAGATTAAAGATATTTTATTTATATATAAAGCTGCCGATTATTCATATTGTTGCCTCAGCTTTAACTTAAAGCTGCAATTCTGAGTGAAATGGCTAAGGATTTGGCTATGATTATCGATAACTTAAGCAGCTGCTGGCACATAGAAATCGCAGCTATAAATTACTTTTAAATTATAAATTTCTTTTAATTATAATTTACTCTCTCTAAGATCCTGAAAGGCTACGCCTTGAAAGTAACATGCAACTCAGTAGAGCTAAGTTCAAAGGGTTCTAGGATTGTGAGCAGATGCATAATGATTGCTGAGATCAGACATATATATAGAGAGATATAGATATAGCTTCAAAGTAAAGCCAAAAGCCAGGCAATAGCTCAGCAAGTTTTTGTTAAATTTGAATTACTTTTGCTATGGCTCTTAGTGGGCCGCCTCGAGCATATATTAACATTTCTATGTTATATTATTGCAACTAAAATATAATTAACAAATGCATATGAAATGTACAGCAATAAAAGCAATTGGCCGAGCGTTTTTAGAAAAGAGCAAATATGAAACGAACCGTGCCGAGCCGAGCCGAGCTAAGCCGCGCTAAGCTGCGAGCTCATCTATTATTCATTTGAAATTCTCAAATAAAGCAATGGCAGCAGCAGCAGCAGCAGCAGCAGCAGCAGCAGCCATAGCAGCTGAGGAGGCGTGGCAAACTGAATGACTGACTGACGCATTGATTGACAAATTACAGGCTTTCAATGCTGCGCCATTAAGTGGGCGTTTTTGCTAGTGGGCGTGTCGGCCCTGGCAATGTGCAGGTGCTTTAAATGCATCAATTGTGCAGCCTACATTTAGGCAAAGCGCCCGCATCAGCCGAGCAGCAATGAAAGCGGAAAGATACGTGAGACCAAATGCGCACAAGCAAATACCCTGAACTCAGATGCTACACATAATAGTTATATATAGTAGATATAATATAGTTGTATATAGTAGATGAACTGTATGTGGGAGGAGAAGAGTGAAATGCGGGCAGAGAAGTGGGATGGGAGAGAGAGATAAAGACAGAGAAAAAGAGAGAGAGATGAAGAGAGAGAGAAAGAGAGAGAGAGAGAGAAAGAGAGAGAAAGAGAGAGAAAGAAAGAGAGAGAGATAGAGATGATGAGAGAGAGAAAGAAAGAGGGAGATTAAGAGAGAGATAGGTCAAAGTAAAGGGATACAGAAAGAGAGAGACAGAGTTCGAAGTAGGGAGAGATAGAGAAAGAGATCTATGTAGAAATAGAGAGAGAGAGAGACAAGTGGAGTGAGCTAGAAAGAGGGATAGAGATAGAATAAGAGACAAAGACAGAGAAAGACAGATAAT